GTCCTGCTCACGTCGGGGGTCCTGCTCACATCGGGGTGTCCTGCTCACGTCGGGAGTCCTGCTCACATTGGGGGGTCCTGCTCACGTTGGGGGTTCCTGCCCTCGGCGCTGTGGACTCGGCGGGCGGGGAGGGGCGGGCGGGCGCTGCTGAGTGGCTGTCGCTTCTGGCCCGGGACTGCCCGGCCTCCGCCAGCCCCACCCCTGGCCGAGCTGGACAGCGGGGAGGGGGCGCCGGATGCCTTCCTGGCCAGCAGCGTTCCTGTTGGCGCAGCCGGAGGGTGGACAGAGGCCGGCCAGCCGGCAGGTGTGCTGGGCAGCGCTGCGCTGGGCGGGGGAGAGCCCGGCTCTGACACAGCTTCCTGGGCAGTGTGTCCTGCCAGCCTCCTGGCAGGGTACAGGCGCCGCTTGGGACAGTCTGCGGTGCTCAGGGCCCTCAGGGCTGAGGTAGGTGAGGTGCACCTCTGCGCTGGGCCGCAGGGCCGCAGGCGCTGGCCGTCAGGCTGTGGGTGAAGGCCAAGGGAGGGGTGCTGAGAGGCCCCCGGGCCCGCGCCTGGGCACCACTGGGGTCAAAGTCCCTGGCCTCTCCTCCACCGCTGCCCCGGAGGGTCCAGGCGGCCAGAACCTGCCCGGGAAGCAGCTCACGGCCGGCATGGTGGCCCTGGTGCCCAGGGAGCGCCCACCCGCACGGGGCACAGGGCATGGGGGCGGTCAGGCATCTCCCCAGCTGCCCCCGAGAAGGCCAGGTGGGAGCTGTGTGGGCCAGCAGGGAGGCTGGGGCGGGAGAACCTCCAGGGGAGCCCCGCCTCGCCCCTCGTTCTGGCCTTTTCGCCAGAGGATAAGGGGCGAAGCATCCTCCTGGCCACTTGCTGCTGACCTGGGGCGATGTGGGGAAGGTGAGGCGTGAAGCCGGGTTCACGGCCAGGTTTGCTGGGGGGCAGGGCCGCAGCGGCGGCCAGGTTTGTAGAGTGACGATGCTGTGGTCATCCTGGGTCACGGGTGTGCCCAGCTGTAGCTGTAGCCGGGGCCTTTCTCATCTGGGGTGGGCGCTGCCACGGCCGTTGGCGTGCTGAGGGTGACCAGGCGTGGGCCTGTCCACCGGTGTGGTCTCTGGGAGCGCAGCCCGTTCGGCCTGCGGTACGGGGCCACCCCAGAATGGGCCGCGCATGCCCGGGCCCAGAGGGGGACGTGCCGACCGACGGCGGGGCAGGGTTGAGGGGCTGTTCCTGTGTGCACCCTCGAACTTGTATCTTGGGGGGCGCACAGCGAAAGTAACAGTGGACGCAACGGAGTGGACTCAGTCTGGTGGGCCCGACCGCAGGGGCTCCTGGGGGCTGAGGTCTCCCAGGGCCGGTGGGGAGCAGAGGCAGCTGGTTCCGAGGCCTGGCGGGCTGGGAGGGGACGGCCTTGGGCGGGCGGGCAGGCGAGGACACGCCTGGAGTGGCCCCAGCTGTAAGGAGGGCACCGGCCAGCGGGTCAGCGAGACTCCCCTGCAGCTGTGTTAAGGGTCTTCAGACGGGCCCTGACCGGGGTCCAAACCGGCCGGGGATGTTTGCGCTCTACCTGCAGCAGAAACAAGTCAGAGTTAGGCTGCGGCGCTGAGCGAACGCGGCCGGTCCGCGCTCACTCTCTGACCTCTCGGGCCTGCAGCGCTTCCTTTGACCTTACCGACCTCTCAACGCTTTGCTGCTTCCTACCTTTCTTTCCAAGACCCTCAAGGTCGTATTCCCCACACATGTGTTGTTATGAAACACACCTCGCTTGACTTGCGCTGGAGTCCTGACAGCTTTATCTTGGCCTGTTTGCTGAAGTCAGGCCTTGCAGGCAGGAGCTCACCCCCTTGGGGGACGGGAGGAGCGGCCGGTTTTTCTGGAACGGGGCTGTCAGGAGAGACAAGAGCTCAGAAGCAGGCTTCTTGGTTCACCCAGACGGAAAGCCTTGGGGCATGGATGTCGGTCTCTAGCTGGCCCGGCTTGTCGGGATGGGGCACTGGGTCCTTGGTGGAGGCTGTCGGTTACGGTGACTCGCGAGGGCAGGGGCTGGGGAGGCCCCAAGGGGCTGGCGACCCCGTTAGATTAGCAGGCCACTGGCAGGCGCGGGTCACCTCCCTGTGGCCAGAGGAGGCCGAGGGTGTGGGCCGGGAGAGGAGGTGGGAGGGGACTCGGGGCTGGGCAGGGCTAGGGAGGACAGAGGTGAGGGGCGTGAGGCGGCCAGGGCGGATGAGGGCCGGGGAGGCCAGGGGTTTGGAAGG